TCATGCCCCATCCTCCCCTACAAATAAACATTTTCTGACTTATATTCTATAATTGCATAGTTATTCAGTCACTTAGAATATATTTTTCGTAATTAGTATTTTTATTATAAACATTCAAAAGATTTTTCCAACAATCGTAACATTTATAGATTTTTGTAAATAAATAAACATTTCTGACTTAAATTTTACAATTACATAATTAGTCAGTCTTTTAAAATATGTTTTTAAATAATTATTTGTAACCTTAATTAATTGTAAAAACTGTACTTTCTGATTAATAAATAATTTTTAAGACATGAATACTTATTCCTAATGCGATTTATTGAAATTACAATTGACACACATATAACTAACCCTTTTTTTACCCTTCACACATTTTAAATGTGTCCAGTTTTTGCAAACTATGCATTGAATCAACTTTTCTCTTTATTTCGGATTAGAATAACTATTCGAACAAACGAGGCAATAGTAGATTATTATCGTTATGTAGCGATTGACAGCAGCAAAACCAGCCCCAAGCGAAAGGCACAATTAACCTCGTTGCGTCGACGCTCACTTTTTATCAAATATTAAAAAACTAGATAAATTAAATGTTAAGATCAATACACCATTGAATCCCTTGATAAATTTTGATCATTTAAAAAAATACGTGGGTGATTCTCCGCGTAGCGCACGATTTGGTATCTGAAACTTTAAAAAAATTTTTTATCGAAATGATAAATATCAATATGTATTTTTAAAGATAAAGAGTCAAGAAATAAATATCCATGGTGGGCCGGACAAATTGTTTATAATTTTTTAAACAAATTTTAAAAAAAATTCTTTGCTTTTTGAATTCTATAAAATAGTTGAAATTTGATTTAAAATGTTTATGGATATTTTTGGGGTAATTCACAAAAATATATATAGCACGAACGACAATTAAAAATTTTTATTTCGGTAATTTACGGAAATTTTATTTCAGTAATTTATGGAAATTTATACGATAATTTATAGAAATTTTGGCTAACATTCATAAAAATATGTAAAACATAAATCACAATTAAAAATTTTAATTTTGGTAATTTACGGAAATTTCCGCGGTAATTTATGGAAATTTTCGCGGTAACTTACAAAACAATAAATAGCGCGAACGACAAATCAAAATTTTAAATTTGGTAATTTATGGAAATTTATGCGGTAATTTATGGAAATTTATGTGGTAATTTATGGACATTTATGTAATTATTTATTATTTATCTAAAGTTCAATGTTTAAAACAAATTTTTTTGCTTCACATTTTATGTGCACTTATAGACACTCGAGTGATACACGCCTTTCAATGGGGAAAAAGCCTTACTATGATGCTGAGGCCAGACCATGACGCACAAGAAAAACTGATTTTTTTCAACATTTATTAACAATTTTCAATCTGTTTCATATGCATGTTATTTATATTCACTGAACTAATACTACTACACTTCAGTTGACATAAAATATAAATAATTAGTAATTTTATTGAGAAATATTTGAAGGCCAGACAATGACGATTCTGTGATTCCCTATGCACATTTGATGCTTTTAATGTGTGAAAAACAAAAAAATTAATTCTGAAAGCAGTTTCTCTCTTAGTAATTCACTTAGGAGAGCTTATTGTTGCTTTTAACTAATGGTGAGTGAAGATTCGATTTTATTTTTATGTAAAAAAATGCTATTTTATAAAAAGGCTAGACCATGACGCAAAAACGAGGGACAAGAATTAACACCAAAAAAATAAAAAAAAAAATTTTTTTTTTCACAAATGGTTTTTTTTCACAATTTTACTAACATAAACAATACGAAACTATTAATAGTTCTCATATTGATTACTGTATTTTACTAAAAATAACATTTTTTTATATAAAAGTGGTACTGGGGACAGGTCATACCATGATGTTTTGGCACCTTAAAACAGCTTTTTAAGTAAAATTATAAACTTTTAATTAAAAACGACTATGGGCTTTTGTTTGTAAACATAGAAATTAGTTTTTCCCATTGGATTTATTGCAATACGTGCAATTGATTTTTTAAAAAATACGAGGGACATTAAGTTGTGCGCTACGCGGAGAATCACCCTTAAAAATGCAAAAAATAGACCAAAAAGTGTAAACACGAAAAGTTGCACGTAAGTGACGCCAAAGCAACAAATTACTAACAGCTAATTATTCCGTGAAGCAAACAAAATCAAAATAGTTGCCAAAGATGCGCATAAGTAAAACAATACATTTCTCACTTTCACTTTTCAAAAAAAAAATTTTGTTTTTGAGATATTTCTATCGGCACAACTTACCCCCGGCACTTTAAGCCCCGGTCTCCCCTATCCGTTTTTAAAAATAACCAAAATTAATACCTAAAACTTAACATAATAATTTATTGCAAAATAAACTGTTTCATTTCTAAACTTTGTAAATCAATAAAATTAGGTTAAAAAATTTAAATTAAAATAAATAAATGTTAATTTTTAGGTATTAATTTTGATTATTATTATGAACAGATAACGAATTTTGATTCGTGAAAAAAAGTTACCCCATTTTAAAAAAAGACCAAAATTAGTCCATTTGTTTTACAGTTAGCGCAACTTTTGTAAATTTGAAAGCTCGATTACAATTCTGGCGCGAGCGACTGCCGCGAGGTAAATTCGTGCACCTACTTTTACCTCTATTTTTAATGTCTAGATATTTTTTTAAAAATTTGATGATTTTTTGGTAAAACTTCAACTAATTACACAGGCACACAAAAAGTAAAATGTGGTTTGGCCGAGACACTACACTAGTCTATTTTCATGTATTTTATCACGCTGAATCCGAATCCGAAGTCAGAATTATCAGATTGGCTTTTATTTTTGAGATAAACTCAAAAAACTGCTTAGAATGAAAAATAAAATCAAAAAGTTAAAAAATTTTCGAATGTCACTGCGATAGTGTAATTCCATTATCTGCACTTGTTTGAAAAAAATCTATCTCCTCCCCCCCTTTGAGCTAAACCGATGATTTTTTTTAAATTTTCAGAAAAATAACAGGAATCGAATAGAATTTATGCCAATGTCTCAAATAAAAAATTCGCTAAGATAGAGTCAATTCTTTATAGTGAAAAAATCTATCGTTTTTTAAAGGTCATTTTCGGGCATAAAATTTTTTTTTTTTTAATTCTGCTGTACTTGTTATTGATAATATAGGTCCTTAAGAGTAAAATGACACCTTAAAATGAATTTTTTTAGGGTCTTGGAATCTTACATCAGAAATAAAAAAATAGTTTATTAATTAACAATTGGATTGTTCAAAAACTATCAATCCAATCGGGCCCAAGTTTTGTACACATATTAAGGGTCAAATCAATTGACAAATGCTTTTTTTCATAAAAATTCACTGGAAGCAGCAATTTTCAAAAAACCTCAAAATGTTGGCTTTTTGCAATTTTAAAGATTTACGACAATTAAATCTGACGGGGAAAAGTGGTGAAAATGTCATAGTTTTATTATAAATCATATTTACTAACAAATGATTTATTTTTTAAACTGGCGAATCAGTTGGCACAAAAACAGTCTTTTTTACAAAGGGGCTGGACTAACTTCTGGCAAGGTCAAATTGCTGACTTATACTTCTGGCAATAATTTTACGTGATTTCTACTATTAATATCTACTGCCATACCAAGTTTCAGACTTGCACCTCATCATTTTTTTTCATCAAAAATTTGCATCTGTTAACTCCCACCCTTACTTTCGGTGACCAAAGCGCCTTCTGGCCGCAAGGTTATGTGTTTATCCATAAAAAAGGAAGGCTTTTATACAAAAACTTTTATTGCACCTTATCGTTGACAATTTTCGTAGCTAGCTTTTAGACTAAATGTACGTATCTCGCATACTCCGGATCAAAACTACTTAAGTTTGAGGTTGCTTTTAGAACTCATTAAAGTCTACTTTTGTGAGTTTCGAGAAAAATATAAATAATAAGATATTAATTAATCTCTCGATTACATCACTTCTATTTTTGATAAAATGTTTCTATATTTTATAACGTTTTAATGTTGTATTTCGTTTGTTGAAAAATCAGGTAAAATGTCATAGGCAAGTTTCAAACGTAACCTCAAACTTAAGTAGTTTTGATCCGGAGTATACAAGATACGTATATTCTGCACTGCTAATAAAAATTTGTTAACTTCCGAAAAAGTCTCACAACTTTAGTACATTTTAAACAGAACATTTAATTTACATAACTTCTAAAATATTTTTCACTTATACGTACGTTCGACTTAGGATGAACGACATGTTCTCACTAGAACAGGTACAAGTTTAGCTGTTGAACATGTACATTTTCTTGTACAAAATCTTGTACAGAGATTTTCAATAGGTTCCATATAAATTATTGAAAGCGACTTTCAATCGCAGCACTTATGTACACTGATCTGTAATTCCACCGTAGTTGGACAAGTAATAAGAAAAAATTGCTCACAAACGTGTTCATTTTTCAAGGAAGGTTGGAAAAATTCAAGGGGAGCCGTGCCCCTACCTAGCTACGCCTATGCGCATCCGCCCGTTTAAAAGTTTTTCAATGTAAGAAAGATTTGAGGTTCGACTGCCATTTTAAATTTTAAACTAAATTTTACTACATTTTATTTAGCCCGAATTTTAGGAAAATTTCGAAGTAAATATAAACAGTCAGTTTTAAACAATTCAAGATCATTAATATTTTCTTGTAACACATAAAATTATTCTAGGGAAGTGAATTAACAATTTCATGCAAAAGAAATCCGTCAGTTTTACAGTTTAATGAGAAATTTACATTTTTGGTGAAAAATAGATATTCTGTTTACATTTACCACAAATGACCCTAAATATTTTTTAAATATTATTTTTTCAGTGCATAATATATCAATTGTATTTCACGATTACCAATATTTAAATATGAATTAAAGTAAAATTTAGCAAATGAAGTACTTGTAAATAAATAAACAAATAAGATGTGTCAAAGGAGATAATACTAACCTGCGTATTTTGAGTTGGAATTTGCAAAGTAAGTGCAAAACTATTAGCATCAAAGCTTTCGTCAAGTGCTACAAGAGCACCATGAACTCCAGATTCTAAAAGATTATTTCCATATTCCTAAAAGTAAAATAAAAAAATAAACTTTGTTGTAAATTGATTTCAACTTCTAAACATTGTAATGTTTACGAAATACAGATCGAATGTACTTCATTAAGATATTACAGCGGTTAATCGAATTATTATATAATTGTTTTAAATTTTGGTTGTATAGTATTTTATATATGAGGCACTTCACGTCAAGTGATCCGGGTCTAAATTTTAATTACCTGGGATCAGGTTTAAAGTTTGCTTAAACTTTAGTCTTACTAGATACAACTTCAAGTACCAAAGATTATTAATTTATTTAAACAACTGTAAAAAGTGGAGGGAGTCAAAGTTTTAATTTTTTGCTCTACATCGTATATTTCAAAAATCTGCAATTCCTTTAAAACATAACAAAAGAATGTTTATTATATATGAATTTTTTTGCATTTTTTACTCACTTTCTAATGGTATAAACAATCTTTCGAAAAAAAATTTTTTTGACCTTGAAAAAATAAAATTAAAAATAGAATTTTGATTTTTGAAAAAAGACATCTTTTTTTAACTTTTTTATTTTTTTTTCATAAAGTTAAGATAATTTCCAAAAAAAAATATATAGGGCAAAAAGTGGGACGAGAACTTTTAAAGGGTCAAATTTAACGATGATTTCTGCGGTGCGACATTGTCGTGCCCTGACAGTGTTTGGTTAGTTTTGATATAGTTCTTTCTGCATCCGCTAGGTGTCGACAAGAATGTATATGAAATTCTCTTGCTGGTGAGATTGAAACTAATAAGTATAAGTATAGAAGACTAAGAAAACAAATTATTTTAAAATCGAGAGTCTTCTATACTTATACTTATTAGTTTCAATCTCACCAGCAAGAGAATTTCATATACATTCTTGTCGACACCTAGCGGATGCAGAAAGAACTATATCAAAACTAAGCAAACACTGTCAGGGCACGACAATGTTGCACCGCAGAAATCATCGCTAAATTTGACCCTTTAAAAGTTCTCGTCCCACTTTTTGCCCTATATATTTTTTTTTGGAAATTATCTTAACTTTATGAAAAAAAAATAAAAAAGTTAAAAAAAGATGTCTTTTTTTCAAAAATCAAAATTTTATTTTTAATTTTATTTTTTCAAGGTCAAAAAATTTTTTTTTCGAAAGATTGTTTATACCATTAGAAAGTGAGTAAAAAATGCAAAAAAATTCATATATAATAAACATTCTTTTGTTATGTTTTAAAGGAATTGCAGATTTTTGAAATATACGATGTAGAGCAAAAAATTAAAACTTTGACTCCCTCCACTTTTTACAATTGTTTAAATAAATTAATAATCTTTGGTACTTGAAGTTGTATCTAGTAGGACTAAAGTTTAAGCAAACTTTAAACCTGATCCCAGGTAATTAAAATTTAGACCCGGATCACTTGACCTCATATATATATAGTATTTTCTTCTTAATTGCATAGTTTTACCATACCGAAAGGCATGGTTTGGAATGTAGTTTTTGGGCACTGTCAATAAAGGGGGGAACCTACTTTAGAAGGCCAGAAAATAGCGCATTTTTGAGAATTTTTTTAAGAAGGAAAAAAATAACTTAGAACTCCAGGCTATGTAGGATATTTTTGTATATATTTGAAGTATTTGTAAACAAAATTTTGACAAAAAATATTAAACAATAGACAAGTTAAAATCAAAGAAAATTTTTATAAACAAAAAATAATTTTAACTGGTTCTCAAAATTGTAAAAAAAAATTTTTTAATTTTTTTTAGTTCAGATAGAAGGATTAATACTGAGTAAAACAATTAAGACATCATTCATTAAAATCAATCAAGGTGTTTTTCGTCAATCATGCCCACCAGTTTGTAAAAATCATAAAAAGTGAAATAAGAGAAAACGCTTTCCAAAGTTTGAGGTTCAATAAGTATAAATTTTACGCGACTCAATATTTCTCTAATTAGTAACCCCGGCTCCATACAGTGCTTACTAATAAAATAAAGTATCTTTGCAGGAGCCTTCCTGCGGGTAATAAATCCGAAATAGACAATAAAATGGGGGTAGGTGGCCACCGAGTTTAGCCAGGCGCTTGAACACTTGCCCGACTCCTCTATGTGTTCAGTCTCAAAACTTAAAAAATACTTTATTCTCGTTTTTTTAATTTGAAAATGAACTTTTATTCGAAAAAACTTTTTTATTTGCATAGAAAAGTTGAAATGAAAACTATGTTTTTTGTTATATTTTCTTCGAGAGTGTTATTTTTCATCTTAAATCTCGATTGTGTTAGTCTTCATAACACCCGTCAATTTAATCTAAGAGTGAAAAAGAAATTACATATAAACAATTTAGAAAGATGTCTTTAATATATAATACATTTTGTTTCAGACAGATATTTATAACTGTTGCGCCTCATTGGAATGCCAAACTATTTACTATTATTAAACTCTTTTAATACTACTTTTAGAAAAAATTGATTGCTTGTGTTTTGTAGTATTAAAGGTTTAATAAATTTGTAAATTAACCATTCATGTTATAGAAACTGCAACATCGTATTAATAGACCTATTTTCAATGTTATGTGACCGAAAATAAAGAGGATATCGACTTTTAATAAATTGAAAATGTTGCAAAAATATTATTTAAAGAGTTGCAATCATGAATGTTTATTGACAGTGTTATGCACTTAAGATAAATATATAATTTATATAAGGAAAGATTTGGTTTATCAAATGAACACAAAAATCAATGCTTCATCATATCTGCGGTATATTCGACTTGGGAAGAATAAATAAGCAAGTAAATAATGAAATAATTCGCAAAAAACAAAAATATCTTTCTTTCTGTTTTATTACTTAAATAATTCAGTGTAAACATAATTCTTAATCATTAAATTAGACCGTTGATTTCCTGAATATATATTTAATGATTACATAAACTCTAATTAATGCTAAGACTTCTAAGTAACATGAAAACACAATTCCTTCTTAATTGTAATTTGTAGGGCGGTAAATTAAAAGGATTTAAAGTATTTAAATATTCTGTTAAAATGTCATTACTAATGTCTCCATTGTCACAATTTTCATTACTATCTAGACTTTTATAAATCCACTCACTATTTTTATCACGCTGTTACACTTCTCTGCTATTAATTTCATCCACATCAACATTTCGTGGACACTAGCTCCAGGACAATGCTTACGAAAACTCAAATTTCGTTTGCTAGAAATTATTGGCAATTTTTTTGGTAGTCAATAAATATCCACTCTTTTAAATAAACTTAATTGTGAAAAAAATTTCAATAATTTTTAATTTTTAATAACAATTTGTATTTTCTATACTTTCTAAAGCAAAGATTATAATAAAATTTGCTTATAACATACCTTCGTGTTACGTATGAATTTCGTAACGTTGTATTAATTAATTGTTAATATTATTAATAATTCCTTAATACAATACTTAAAAAAAGAGAACACATTATGAAATACAGAAAACACATTATAAACATTAAAAGTAATGCCTTTTGAATTTCTTGGAGCTATCTAAATAATTATATATTAAATGGTAACATTCAATTAATAACCTAAATTTTAAAGAAGACCTATTTAATTTTCATGATGAAATTGAGAAACTAATTGACTTAATTTAATACAAGAAACAAAGGATGATGCAGTAGTAAAAAAGGCGGATCCAAAATGGTCGACAAATTTTTTTAAAGTACATCGAATTCACTTAAATCTTGTTACTGGGGGGTTTTCGGGAACGCTGATTACGAATTCGACAACAGTTTTTGAAAATCGAAAGTACCATAAATTCGATGTATTTTAAAAAAATTGGTTGGTCATTTTGGATCCGCCATTTTGGATTTTCAAAAATTGACATCGGATTTTTAATCAGCGACTACAAAAACCCCTAAGTAACGAATATTAAGCGACTTTATATAGTTCTTTTGATTTTAATCATTTTTTAATGTTTTTTCTTTTACCATAGTTTTTTTAAACTTAAAAAGACGTCAAGTAACAAGTGTGGCGGTAGGCTTAAGGTTCTAGTCGCCTAGTGTGATTTAGGCTTAATCTCCCCCTCTCGTGAGTGGGACGAGTGTGAGTGTGTGTGTAATCTCGCCCTTACGAATGTCATTCGAGTTTTGTACTCCGAAATAGTCGGTTGAGTAAATTATGTTAATATCCATGGATTATAATTAAAGTTAATAATAATTAATTAAATAAATGTCGTTCTTATTTTCGGGTTTTCGGGAAATAACCTATATTAATATTAATCATTAATAAAATTCCCACACTGGTGACCCCTTCGCGAGTGATTGTTTATTTATTCATAACAACTACTCGAAGTTGCAGAAACGACATTATTATTTTTTTTTTGGGGGGTTTCTTTTAACGATTATTTTCACCATGTTGGATACGGAGGAAGGTTCGAGCGGTGGAAACGACGATCGGTTGAATCAATTACAACTACAAATTGATAGAGTTGCGGAGAGCTTGGACGGTTTCAGGGACGTTCGTGTTGATGCTAATCGGAACCCTAGATTTCCGCGTTTTATATCGAATTTTTACTCAGATTAAAAACAGAATTGTCGCAACCTATTCCATTTCTACAGAGGCTCGTTTGCGTCAACTTTTGAAAGGTGACATTTCAACTTACGGGAAACCTTCTTTAATTTTAACGCGTCTGCGCGGTTTGGGTTATGCCCAATGCAACGAAGAAGTGATAAATCGGTTTTTCTCGACCAATTACCCCCATCAACGCATTTTAGTTGCATCAAATGTAGCTGGACTCCAGGATTTGGCTAATCTTGCCGATAAGGTGTACGAAACCACTAGTCTTTCAGGTTCTTGTTCTGCCGTAGGCACTTCTGCCGTTCAATCCTTGTCTCATCCTAACAAACTTTCAGCTATCGAGACTCAAATCTATAAATTGGTCGTGCAATCAGTGCTTTGAGCACTAAGTTTTCACAATACGATAATGATAATTCCCGACGCGCATCTAGATCCACATCTCGTTCTCGCAATGATCGTAAG